CCATGGAAGAATCTCTTCTTGAAAGTCACAGGGTGGAGTGGTGACATAATTGAGCTCTCCAAGTGACCAAGACAGAATTACTGACGCAGAACAAATCTCTGATGAAGGTCAGTCCATTTTTGGAGGTGCATTTCCCCACTTTCCATGGAGTGACAGGACATGGGGATGGCTTCTCACTGCCAGAGAGCAGGGATAGACAGGATTTTGGGAGGGAATTGCTGGCTGTGAGGGTGGGGGGGCCCTGGCACAGACAGGATATTGGGAAGGAATTGCTGGCTGGGACGGTGGGCAGGCCCTGGCCATAGCAGGGGTGATCCCAGGCTGGATGGGGCTTTGGAGCAAAAAGGAAGGAACAGTGGAAGGTGTCCCTGCCCATGGCAGGGGGTGGGAATGGATGATCTTTCAAGTCTCTTGCAACCCAAACCATTCCATGATTCTGCAATTCTAGGATCTTGCTCCTGTGTCTCATTGACTGGATCAGTAGATTTCTAGATGTTTGTGGAAAACTCTTTAGCTAGAGAACTTGCCTACCATGTGTCCAAGTGCTGCTGTGTTGCTGACTGTGGGAGGAAAAGGCTAACAGTGGGGGTGAGCTGTGCCTCTGGAGGAGCCAAGCATCTGGGACAAGGAGGGCAGGAGACTGTAGGCTGGTCAGCAGAGAGGATTTCACAGAAGGAAGTACAGCCGGCTGTCTGATGGTTGAAAATCCTCAGTGTTTGCAGCATTCAAGCTGGTTTCAATTTAAAATGTCTTTGTCTTCAAGATTTTCTGCTTAAACATTAGGACAAGGAACTATTTGTGTGCAATTTCATGAATGACAGTTTAATATCCCTACATAACCCTTGGACTCCAAAAGCTGGGTCTCTAAGAGAAATGCCAAGATATCTTACAAAAAGATTTGAGGAATTGGCTTCCATTCCAGTGCAAAGAACAGGTCAGGCCCTCTCCTGTAGAAGAGCAGATACAGAATGTGTTTTAGTGAGCCAGAGCTAAGCTTGGTCAGTCAGCCCCAGTGTTTCTGTGTGTTGCAGGGGTTCAGCACAGCCCACAGCACAGAGAAAACATAACTCCAGCCAGTCTTGGAGCTCACCTGTCCCTCTGGTCAGGAGGGATGAGGACTGTCAGGGACATTGGCTAATTGTCACATTTGGCTCCCAGTAGCACTGATAAGGCTGCTTGCTCACTCACAGCTAAAGACACAAAAGGACTTGTATGATGCAACTCTCCAGTACCTGAACATTCCCCACTGCCTGCTGGGCCTTTCCATGGCAGGATAAGGGATACAGCCACGTTCCAACCCCAGGAGCACAGCCACAGGAGAGAATCATGGGATCAATGAATGGTTTGGGTTGGAAGGGACTTTAAAGCTCATCCAGCTTCACCCCTGCTATGGACAAGGACACCTTCCACTATTGCAGGTTGGTCCAAGCCCCATCCAACCTGGCCCTGGACACTCCCAGGGCTGGGGTAGCCACAGCTGCTCTGGGAAACCTGTGCCAGGGCTTCCCAACCCTCACAGCCAAGAATTCCTTCCCATCTATCCCCCATCACAGGGGGAAGCCATTCCCTGTGTCCCGTCTCTCCAGCCCTTGCCCCAAGTCCCTCTGCAGCTCTTCTGGAGCCCCTTAGATGGCTTTGCCTGGAGCCTTCTCTTGTGCAGGTGGACAGCTCCAGCTCTCCCAGCCTGGCTCCAGAGCAGAGGAAATGGCAGAAGCCTCTGCTGCCACTGTGATCCAGAGGAGGATGTTCCCAGCAGGAGCTGCCAGAGCACAAAGCAGAGGCTCTGCTCAGGTCCAGGCACATGGGTGTATGGGTGTTTGCTGTCCATCCCTGCTGGGACAGCGAGGTCCCCCTGGGTGTGCACAGCACAGGCACTGGGGCTGGGCAGTATGGACAGGGGAGCAAGAGGGGTGGCAGCAGCGGAGCCTGAGGGAAAGTCCTGTGGATTTTTGGATTTGAGGTTCCCGTACAATTAGCAGGCACCTGCTTCCAATACAGGAGTTTTCAAGAATACAGTTTTGGATTCACCTGCCTGAATTTTCTGCTTAGTATCTGAAAGCTCTTTTGGAGTTAACTCACGTAACCCAAATATCCCAGGCAGGTGGTGCAGTGGGGGAAAAATGTGGTGAAATCCCAACTAGGGCACAAGCTCAGCTGCCTCAGCCCTGATCCCAGCACCAGGAATGTGCTAGGCTGCCCACAAGAGCTCTTGTCAAGTTCCCAACAAAGCTGAAAACATCTCAGGGAAAGGGTCACAGCCCCAGGGCTGCCAGAGCTCCAGGAGCATTTGGACAATGCTCGCAGGGATGCACAGGCTGGGATTTTTGGGGTGTCTATGTAGGGCCAGCAGTTGGACCCCATGACCCTGGCGAGCCTTTTCCAGCTCAGGATATTCCGTGATTCTGTGCTAACCTTCCATCACTGCAAACCCTTACAAGCTGAGCAAAACAGTTCCACCTGTGGGGAAACTGAAAATGTATTTATTTAGGGTTTGATTGATGAACACAGGTGATAATCTCCATCATGTGTCAAGTACTTGTGTTTCACACCTCTCCTCCAGCTTTTCTTGAACATCTCCTTGCTTTTGTGCACTGCTGCCACAGAAGCAGCTGTGTGTAAAGGAGCTTCCCACGTAAAGACTGGGCTCCTGCCCCCCCAGAAAACAGAGGAAGGTGCAGAGGGAAGGGCAGAAAGGATGAAGAAGAGTTGCATTGGGGTGTGTTCAGAGAGGGGATTCCCACGGTGTGGTGGGTAAGGCTGTGGGAGTGTTTGAGGATCCCAGCTTAAGCCAGTTTTAATTTATTGCACCTGAAAACTTAGTGCTACATACTGTTCCCCACAGAAGCTGTGGCTGCCCCTGGATCCCTGGAAGTGTCCAAGGCCAGGCTGGATGGGGTTTGGAGCAGCTTGAGACAGTGGAAGTTGTCCCTGCCCATGACAGGGTGTGGGATGAGATGACCTTTAAGGTTCCTTCCAAATAATTCTGTGATTCTACAGATACTATTCAGAAATAATATCTGCCCACATCCCAGCATGTTTCAGGCTTTGAGATCAGTGCTTGAAAGTTGCTTGGAGACTTTGCAGAGAGCTTCCCCAAAACCAAAGAAAAAGGCACATTTTAAGGCAGGTAAATGGAGAGCTGCAGTAACAACTAGAGCTCTTATGGTTTTTAGCCAGGTAAATATTTGTGATAGCTCAAATATTTTCCTCTTCCCATTTGGGTAAAGTCCTAGCTGCAGAGCTTTGGGGCTTTTTAGCCCTAAACAAGAGATCCAAAACCAGCCTCCTGTTCATAGGATTTAGATGGACAGCAAGTTCTTCCTCTGTTTATTTCCAAACTCAGAGGTAAACCCAGACTCTCATGCTGGGGAGGTGCCTGCACACCAGATTACTGCCATCTCAGGAATATGTCTCTTTTTTTCCCCCATTCTGTCATTTTTTTTCTCAATGACACTTTTGCTGCACCACTTTCAGGAAATATTTTGCTTTTATTGAGCTGCTTCCCAAGCAGTTCTAGTTGCAAATGGTGCCTCAAATGGGAAGGAAAAATATTTTATTTTAATGAGTCAGTCTGTGATTATTTTATAATGGTGCAGTAAATACCAGTTGAGGTTTGATAAATATGAATTTGAATTAATCTCTTCGCTCTGGTCTCGGGGACACCTCTGTGAGCGATGTGCTGCTTTATTCCCATCCTGAGCTGCCATCTAATGGTGAACACGGTGGTGGCTGCTGGGATGAGAGTTAGACCCTGTTATCTTAAAGGCCTTTTCCAAACGTAATAATTCTGTGCTCTCAGGTGGGGGTCGGATTTCTGCTCCCTGAAGGGACAAGGGACAGCACAAGAGGAAATGGCCTCAGGTTATGCCAGGGGAGGCTCAGGTTGAACATCAGGAGGAATTTCTTCCTGGAAAGGACTTGGAAGGGGCTGCCGAGGGAGGTGTTGGAGTCCCCAACCCTGGAGGTGTCCAAGGAATGCCTGGACGTGGCACTGAGTGCTCTGGGCTGGTGACACGGTGGAGATCAGGGAAAGCTGGGACTTGATTATCTGAGAAGTCTTTTCCAATCTGATTGATCCTGACTGAATGAACCACAGAATATCCTGAGCTGGAAAGTACCCACAAGGGCCATCGAATCCAGTTCCTCAACAATCCCACCCTGAGCATCCCTGGCAGTGCTGCCCAAAGGCTCCTGGAGCTCTGGCAGCCTCGGGGCCGTGCCCATTCCCTGGGGAGCCTGGGCAGTGCCAGCACCCTCTGGGGAAGAGCCTTTCCCTGATATCCAACCTAAACCCCCCTGGCATAGCTCCAGCTGTCCCTGGGTCCTGTCAGTGGTCACCAGAGAGAAGAAATCAATGCCTGACCTTTCTCTTCCCTCACGAGGAAGTTATAACTGCGATAAATCTCCCCTCCCTCCAGCTGAACAGACCAGGCGCCCTCAGCTGCCGCTCACATGGTTTCCCCTCAAGGCCCTTCACCATTTCCATAGCCATCCTTTTGGCGCTAATAGTTGAATGTCTTTCTTATATTGCAGTGACCAACACTGCTCACAGTGTTCAAGGTGCTCAGCGCGGATCGGCGCGGGGCAATCCCCTCCCCTGGGAGGGTGGTGGTGCTGTGCCAGAGGCACGCTGATCTCCTTGCTAAAAGCACCAGCACCACGAGCTGAGGGTGAATGCCACGGTGTGTTTCCCCACGGCAACGTGAATACGGCGATGTGTTTCCCCACGGCAGCGTGAATACCGCGATGTCTTTCCCCAGACCAGGATTTATTCACAGGCTCGGCGAGGGACCCGCTCCGGGCGCGCACCGCCCTCACAGCGAAACCCGCCCCCATCTTGGGGGCGGAGCGCTCCCTCGGACCGTCCCCCCCCGCCGGAAATCTCGCGAGACGCGCGCGCGCTGGCGGCGCGCCCCGCCTTTCCTCTTCCTCTGCAGCCGCCGCCCCGAGGTGAGCAGCCATGGTCGGCCCGGTCCCGCGTCAGCCGCCGCCATCCGCCCCCATCCCGCCCCATCCCCGCTGGCACCGGCGTCCCGGACACCGGGATCGCTACGACATGCCCCGCGCCCGCGGTATTCCCCGGGATGGAGCGCGGGAGGGCGGGCGCGGATGCGGGGAAGGGGCAGGCCTGAAAAAATCCATGGCTGCTATGATGACTTTCTTAGGACACCTTTGGATGTAACTGTGAAAAGAATACGTAATTTCTGAGCAGCTGCGGCGGTAAGGGGAGTAGTCCGGGTCCTGTGTGCTAGTGTTAGAGATTAATTATGTTTCAATTGGTGTTTTTCAGCTGAGCTCTCAAGATGGTGCGCTACTCCCTGGATCCGGAGAACCCCACGAAATGTGAGTTGCTGTTTTAGGAGAGTTCGTGTGGGATTTCCCGGAAGCCAGTGAGGTTTTGATTCTAAAACTTGGTCTTTTTTCTCTCTTGTAGCATGCAAGTCCCGGGGATCTAACCTGCGTGTGCATTTCAAGGTAAAGAGTGTGTGATTAGCAGCAATCGTAAATTTATTTTTTGTTTTAAGTAGTTTTTGCTAGTTTTTCTTACTAGTTTTTAAAAGAAGCCCAGACTGGCTCGGATTGAAAGTGATTGTAAGGATAATCTCTTTACACCCTCTGCCGTGGTTAGGGACTCAGCTCCTGTCCAGCGTGGCCCTGGAAACTTCCAGGGATGAGGGGCAGCCACAGCTTCTCTGGGCACCCTGTGCTAGGGCCTCCTCGCCCTCAGGAATTTCTTCGCAATATTCCTCTTTTTAAGGAAGTATCTTTTTAATCACTAAAGAACTGCTGTCAGCTGCTTGTAATGGTCTCCATCCACAACAAATTAAGAGTCTGGATTCTAGAATTGTCCTTGTCTAATTCAGTTAACAAAATACAGCAGCAAAACAGTTGGAGTAAATTTATCAGACGCTGGGCTAGTGTTTGGTGTGAAATTGTCTAATTTCTCCCACTCTTTTTGGTTCCGTGCTGTTTGGCACTAGGAACTCAGTTCATCTGGAAAAGGCTTAGGTGCAGAGAACAACTCAGAAGTGTTATTTAATCATGAAAGTAGAACTTAGCAGATCATTTTCTGCTTAGTGTAATACGAAGTTTTAACTTCGGTTTTCTTTTTTTTTTTTATTAGGAATAGGTAGGATTATACTTAGAGCTGGCTTACACAATCAGTAAATGCTATCTAAAAGACCGATCTTTTATCCTTAATTTTTCTTTCTGAGCCTTTTCTTCTCTTAGGATTCTTTTAGAGAAAACAACATTGTTAACAATTGCCCCAGTGTTTCTTCATCGGTTCCTCTGAGGTGCTGTATTTGAGGTTTTAGTGAGAATTTATCCATCCAAATCTTGCCTTGTTAGATGAGTGGCCAAACAGGAGCCATGAATAGTATAGGTACCAAAATTATAATTTTATTGAGACTTACATATTTCCTAAAAAAAAAAAAGAAAAAAAAACTATGCTGGAAACACAAATTTAGTAGTGGCAGTCATACCAGGGGTTAGAAAAGCGGTAACAGAGTAAAAAAATGTTAATTATTAATTATTTTTCAGTCTTAGACTTGGGTATTCTTTAGTGAATGGAAAGAATTGTATCCAGGGAGGGCAGAGGCAGGGTTGAGCTCGTGCTGTCTCCTGTAAGGATTTGTTCAAAGGATCTTTTCTGTGCCCTGTGTTGGCAGAACACCCGAGAGACGGCGCAGGCCATCAAGGGCATGCACATCCGCAAGGCCACCAAGTACCTGAAGGATGTCACCCTGAAGAAGCAGTGTGTCCCCTTCCGGCGCTACAACGGCGGCGTCGGGAGGTGTGCCCAGGTGAGCTCCTGGGAACCCCGGCAGGGAGACTTGGCTCTGGGTGCTTAACACAGAAAGGTGATGGGGACAGGGTGTGGGTGTAGTCTGTCATTGCTGGTGGAAAATCTGCATTTAAACATGGAATCACAAGGTGGTGTGGGTTGGAAGGGCCCCCAGAGCTCATCTCACTCCAGTTCCCTGGACAGGGACATCTTCCACCAGATCATGTTGCTCAAGTGGGAGGAAAGGCTATTAATTCCAGAGGATGCGTCTCTGTGGAGTGTCAGCATCCAATTGGCAGCATTAAGTCAAGGGATTAAATTTTGTTGGGTTTGGTGTACAGCAAAATGAAGTAGATGATAATCCATTCTAATCTATATCCATAAGATACAGGGTCCTCAGCACAGGAAGGATAGTGACATGTTGCGGCCAGTGCAGAGGAGGCCACGGAGCTGCTGCCAGGGCTGGAGCCCCTCTGCTCTGGAGCCAGCCTGGCACAGCTGGGGCTGTTGAGCTGCACAAGAGAAGGCTCCAGGGACACCTCAGAGCCCCTGCCAGGGCCTCCAGGGGCTCCAGCAGAGCTGCACAGGGACTGGGGACAAGGCCTGCAGGGACAGCAGCCAGGCAATGGCTCCCAGTGCCAGAGGGCAGGCACAGATTTTGGGCTCACAGCAATTAGGAATTGCTGGCTGGGAGGGTGGGCAGGCCCTGGCCCAGGGTGCCCAGAGCAGCTGTGGCTGCCCCTGGATCCCAGGGAGTGCCCAGGGCCAGGCTGGATGGGGCTTGGAGCAGCCTGGGACAGTGGAAGATGTCCCTGCCCATGGCAGGGGGTGACACTGAATAAACTTCAGGGTCTCTTTGAGCCCAAACCATTCTGTGATAATGGCACGTTAAAGGTATGTAGAAGGTAACTGGAATGGACCAGGCCAAAAGCAGAGTCCCATTGTTTGCTCTCTCATTCCAGGCCAAGCAGTGGGGCTGGACACAGGGCCGCTGGCCCAAGAAGAGCGCAGAGTTCTTGCTGCACATGCTGAAGAATGCAGAGAGCAATGCTGAGCTCAAGGTGGGTGTTACTGAGCACAAAGCAGTGGTGTCAGGCCCTCTCTCAGCATCCCTGGCCTGGGTGTCACTGACCTGGAGAGCCACTTGCCACCTGCTTCATCCACAATACTTAATTGTAGGGAGGGTTTGGTGTGGCTCCCTGTTAAAGCAGGCTATGTGTGTTCCTCAAGGTAAATGGCAGCAGCAGTTTTTCACAGGGGAAATCTAAATTTAAAAATTTCACACAAAATTGCTGTTCAGATATCTCAAAATCTGTGAAATTAAAACATGTGAAATCAATAGCTGACTTGGTCAGTTGCTATCTTTGTTACAGGCTTAATCTGGTAGCTTTGCAGGCAGTATTGGAGTAATACCTTTGAATAACCATGAAATAACCATAGACAATGGGCCATCAGCACAATTTTAAATTATTTGTGATGTGTGAGGGCCGGACTTTGTCATTTTAGACGATGCTTGCTTGGTAAGTCCTCATCTCCATGACACTGCCAAGCTCAGCAGTTCCATTGGCAGATCCTTGGAAAATCCTCAGCTCCATGATACCACCAGTTTGGCTGTGTCAGTGGTGAATCCTTAGAAAACCCTGAGCCCATGGCACCACCAAGCCTGGCTGTGTCAGTGGTGAATCCTTGGAAAACCCTGAGCTCCATGGCACCACCAAGCCTGGCTATTTCATTCACCAGCAGCAGTGTCTGGGGCGATTCCTCACATTCTTGCTGCAGAAATGAATTATTTAAAGATGAAAGTGGCTCACAGATTTTCTTCCATGCCAGGGTCTGGATGTGGACTCCCTGGTGATCGAGCACATCCAGGTGAACAAGGCTCCCAAGATGCGCCGGCGCACGTACCGGGCACACGGCAGGATCAACCCCTACATGAGCTCCCCGTGCCACATTGAGATGATCCTCACGGAGAAGGAGCAGATCGTGCCCAAGCCGGAGGAGGAAGTTGCCCAAAAGAAAAAGGTACCGGCGTTATGTGCTCTGTCTCGTGTGCTCTGTTCCTGTGATGCTGTCAGGACAGCCGAGGGTCTGGCAGAGAGGGGTTGCTGTGATGACAATCTTAGGACACCTTTGGAATGCCCATGAAAAAAATCAGTTCTTTCTGAGCAACCCCATTTTTTAATTTCCAACTCAAGTATTTAGCACTTAAAAGCCCTGAGAGAACCATGTTTTAATTGCACGGAGGGTTGGTTCTTTCCTCCCTCAAAGCAGCTACAGCATTATGTGTGTGAACCCTGGGTGTGTGCAATAAAATTAGTTTAGAACCTGCAAGCAATGTAGTGTAGTGCTTGTAGGGATTCCTGTTCATGTGCAGGTGTGATGAGTGTATCATTTGTGGGGGAATTCCTAATTAACAATTCCTAATAGTTTGCAGCACTTCTAAAAGATAACTTTGAGATGTTTTGGGAAGTCTAATTTCACTGTTCTTTTTTGTGTGTTTGCTTCCCAGATCTCCCAGAAGAAGCTGAAGAAGCAAAAGCTAATGGCTCGGGAATAAATCTGCCTGGACAGATGTATATAAATAAAATCTTTTAAAATTTGGATTGATTGTGTTGCTCTGCTACAAGTTCTGACCTTGCGCTGGGCGTTGCTGTGGGTCAGGGGCAGTGAATTTTACAGAATCATGGAGTGGTGTGGCTGGGAAGGGACCTTAAAGCCCATCCAGTGCCACCCCTGCCATGTGCAGGGACACCTTCCACTGTCCCAGGCTGCTCCAAGCCCCATCCAGCCTGGCCTGGGACACTGCCAGGGATGCAGGGGCAGCCCCAGCTGCTCTGGGCACCCTGGGCCAGGGCCTGCCCACCCTCCCAGCCAGCAATTCCTTCCCAATATCGGCCCTCCAAGCCGGGCCGCGTGTTCCCGCCGGCGGCCGGGCCATCCCACAGTTCCCCCCTTCCCAAATCCGGGATAATCAGGAATCTGGGCCGCGTCCGCCTTCCCGTCCGCGCGGCTGGGGCGTGGCCTGGCGTGTCACGTGATGCGCGCTGCCGCCGGCCATTGGCCGGAAGCGCCGCCCCGGAAGCGCAGGGCCGTTCCGGTGCGGGCGCAGGTGGGTGCGGAGCACCGGGCGCACCGGGAGCAGGGAATGATCCCTTCCCCACATCCCGCCCCGCACGGCCCACGGCCGCCGGGCCACGCCGCTGGCCGGGGGCTCACGGGCTGCACCGGCCCCAACCGCCCCCGGAGAGCAGAACGGCAACGCCTGACATCAGGCAGCCTCCCGGGCTCCTCATCCTTTATGGAAAACGGGGAAAACCCGGCGGGTTTGCCCCTGTGGCGTTTTCCGGGCGCTGGGAACAAAGCCGTGCCGTGCCGTGCCGAGGTTTGCCCGTCAGTGAGCGCGTTCCGTGCCGTGGGCTCACCGAGGGCAGCGGCACCGCCCGCCGCAGGACATCACCCGCCCGGCCACCCCCTCACTCCTCTTTTCTCCTTTTTTGTTATTTTCCTTGCTAACCAGCTGGCGGAGCGTCACCAGGTCACCGGAGGAATTCGTCAGGACGGTGTTCCACGCTGATCCCAGGGATCGCTGGTGCATCAGGCGGAGGTAGGGATGATTTTTTGGGCAGGAATTTTTTAGACACGAAGTGGCTGCAGAGGCAGCACAACAGGGGCTGTGTTTCCGTGGGACAGGACACAGGCAATGGCTCCCACTGCCAGAGGGCAGGCACAGATTTTGGGCTCTTGGCAATTAGGAATTGCTGGCTGGGAGGGTGGGCAGGCCCTGGCCCAGGGTGCCCAGAGCAGCTGTGGCTGCCCCTGGATCCCTGGGAGTGTCCCAAGGCCAGGCTGGATGGGGCTTGGAGCAGCCTGGGACAGTGGAAGGTGTCCCTGCACATGGCAGGGAATAGAAGGAAATGATTTTGAAGCTCTCTTGTGACCCAAATAATTCCATAATTCTGTAATGATTCTACAGCCTGAGGTGTTCCCTCCAGGCATGTTCTTCAGCTGCTGGATGAATCCACATTTTGCTGCAAATTTAATACTTAGGAAGTTCTGGTGGAGTATCTGAAAATACAGTATCTGAAATAACATATCTGAAATAAAGTATCTGAAAATATATTTTTTAATAAGTTGAAAGGGTTACCTCATTTGTGTTGTCTCAATGTAAGATTCCTCTCAGACCTCAGAAAGTAGATTTAAAGTGTATTTGAAGCAGCCAGAGCAGTCAACTGGAAATTTATACTCTCCTTTTCCACAGGGCTAAAAATCCTCAGGATAACATAAAATAAAAAGCAAAACTGGTCCCTATTGAGGTGTGCACATCTGCCTTTTCACTCTCCATCTTGGATAGCTTTTGTTTTGCTTCTTGGTGTGAGAATTGAGATGTCAGCAGCCTAGAGAGGGGGACTGTGAAGGGCAAAGTTGTGTGGCAGCAGAGTGTGTCTAATGTATTACTGTCAGCACTGGCAGGGACAGGTCCAGCCCTAATTAACTGCTTCCTCTCCCAGCTGGACCTCTCTGCCTCCTTGCTTTGCTTTTCTTACTTTTTTTTTTTAGCATAGACCCCAAGGTGCAAATTTTGATGCCTTGTGGGTTTCAGAGAGAGGTCATGGTTCATTTTCCAACAGTTAATTGTAGGGGGTTGGTGTGGGATCAAGTGAGGGCAGCAGGAAGACAGTAACCCATATGCTAGTTCTCTCAAATCCTGATTGGAATTTTTTCTCCTTTTCCACTATCCTGTCCTTCAGTGGTAGCAACCCCTTGGATGGATTTGCTTTCTGCTGTTTAGTTTCTCCTTAAATAAAAATGGGTTGAGCAAAACAAACCCTTTAGACTCATAATATAGTGGGAACTGGGCTAATACTGGCAGCTTGCTGCTTAAACTGTTTTTGTGTGGCTTAAGCAAAAACTCTTATTTCCTGAATTTGTTTTCCTTAGTTGCATCTGTAGGACTGATTAATAATAGCAAATTGGTTTGTTTCTTATTGTTAAAATAGCAAGAATGTTCCCTTTGTTGGAGGCTTTATAACATTGGAACACACAACACTTTTGAAGCTTTAGCAGCTGCTTAATAATTACAGAATAATTACGTTTGAATATGAAATACGGATTTTATTTTCTTTGTAAATACTGTTTTCTCAGGTTGTGGCATACAAATGCTCCCACCTAAGCTGTTTCCCCCCCTACCCCCACCATCTCTGTCCCAGCACAGGAGGGAGCCATGGTGTGCATTCCCTGCATCGTGATCCCTGTTCTCCTCTGGGTCTACAAGAAGTTTGTGGAGCCCTACATCTACCCCATGATTGCCCCCTTCATCAAGCGTGTCTGGCCCAAGAAAGCTGTGCAGGAGCCACCAGGCACCAAGCAGGGGCCAGGAGGCAGCACTGGGGACCCTCGGGGACCTGCGGCTGCCAAGAGAGACCAGGAGGACGGATCTGGAAGCCATAAAGTAAGATTAATTCACCCAGCTAAGCAGGGAAGGGCTGGGATGAGCCACCTAGTGGTAGCTCGGGAGGGTGAACAGTTGGGTGTGCTTACAGATATTTTGGTGGCTACTTTCTTGGGAACAGCAATCACCACTGCTGTGCCATCTAGGAATTGGTGCTTCAAGATACAGTTAGTATAATAGTTGAGTCTTCTGGTCTTGGAGGAATTGTGCCTGTATCCTGAAACAGCTTAATTAATTATTATTTTTTTTTAACAGCTGGCTGTTCTTTCAAAGATAAAAGTCAAATATTTGGCAAATCACCAGCAGAAATTAAAAACAGCCCCTCTCTTCAGCCAGCTCTGCCGCTCATAATGGGGGAGAACGCTTAGTGCATATAAATTATGCTTTTATTATTTATCTTCTGTCACAATACAAAGACTCATAAATGTTGTCGCTGCTCTCATTCCTCCCTTCCCCCTGAAACAATAATTATTTGTAAATCTACACAGACACCACCACTTTTTGTTCTTGCTCCATATTTCTCCATTTATCTTTGCTGTCCTTGCTTCTAAAAGCCATTTTTGTCACCAGCTGTTCCTGTTGTAGATGTGAAGTTCTAATTTGACATCTCATTAATGACACTGTTTTTTGTTTGCAGTTGGAAAGCAATGGCATTGCAAATGGAAGTCCTGCAAAGGGATCTGCTGCAGTATATGACAAGAAAACAGCTTGAGGGAGTTAATTCCTAAGGATTTTGTTCCCTTGTGTCCAGTATGAACTGCTGATATTCCTCTCAATTTGAGACTTTTTTCTTTGCACATTTTAGCTGAATAAAAAACTTAATTGCTTGCAGGAGAGTCTCTTTTGCCACTAAAATGGCAGCTGTTTGTTTATTTAAAATATTTGAAAGCTGATGTTCTTGTATTTTTCTCGCTGGAACTACTTTTCATCTGCCAGCTATTTGGTGTGATTAGAGTTTAGGTTAAATAATGTAAGAATAAATCTGTTTATGAAAGGCAAATGTATCTTAGCATCTTGATGTCACTAAGTGCTAGTGCAGTACTTGAGGCTTTCACCTTAAAGGCTTTATCTGTTCCTGGTGAAGAACTGTGGACTACATTGTGACAACAAAAGCTCATAATTTATGAAGAATTTAGATTTTTCATGTCAAATCTATGGATGAGCTAGAGGAGTTATGCTGCATACAAAACTTGCTTAGCTTACTAAAAGCAGAAAGTCTTGATGTGATACTTTCCTTAATTATTTTCCTTGAAATATTATGCCTTTTTTTTTTCCTGAGGCATGATGAAAGAGATTGTTGCTTTATGTTCTGTTGTAGTGATTTATAATGGCGCAGTTCTGGCTTTAAAAAGAAAACTCAACATCCAACTAAAACCTCTTTACCATGCTTGTGGAATTTTCATTATAATAAACTGGGATTTTATTTAAAAATAAGTCGCTTCATGCAATTATTGCACAGAATCGCAGAATTCTTAGTGTTCAGAGCTATAAACACTTCAAGTGGTGACAAAATTTTTGAAAACCTGTAGACAGGCCCCAGGCAGAAGGAGGCCCTGAAATAACTGAATTTGTGATAAAGTGAACTGGGCAAACTTTGCCTCTTCCTGGCAAGATGGATTCTGCTGCTGTCTTGCATCCCAGCTGTGAAGGGTTTTAAGTGTCCTGTGCTTAGTAAGGAATGAAAGTGGTAATTCCTGCTTTTTCCTGTCTACCAAACCAGAGAGCTCTTTAAAAGATTCAAAACTAAACCAGCAGTTCTGGATTCCAGCAGTTTTGGACTGTTCTTTATGATTTAGTTTCCCTAAAATCCTCTCTCAGTCAGGCCTAAAAATGCACTTTTTGTACAGGCAGTCCCTGACCTGTCACTGTCGTCCAGTGTTATTCTTGTGACTGTGATTTCTCTCAGCAGTTAATTAATTACTCTGGTATCTAATTTTGCCTGGTGCCCTTGGTGAGGTGCCTCATTTCCTGCCAGTGCCTGGTTTGGTCAGACCTGGTGTGAATGGCTCTGCAGTGTTCACAGATCCTGTACCCCTGCAGCCACAGCCATGACTTTGCAATGAGCTCAGGCACAGACACCTCCGTGTCAGACCTTGATTAATGCTGTTTCTCTTCCTTAATGAGCGACTCGGTTTGGACCTGAGTTTGGAATCGCTGTTTAATCAGCTGTTACCTCATCCTTGGAACATTACCCCCCATCGGATCAGTGTATTGCAGCTTCCTCCTAGATCACTGAATCCCAGGATCATTTAGGTTGGAAAAGACCACTGAGTCCAGCCTGTGACCAATCCCCACCTTGTCACCAGCCCAGAGCACTGAGTGGCACATCCAGTCATTCCATGGACACCTCCAGGATGGGAACTCCAACACCTCTCTGGGCAGCCCCTTCTAATTCCTGACCTCCTTTTCCATGGGGAAATTCCTGCTGGTGTCCAACCTGAGCCTGCCCTGGCCCAGCCTGAGGCCGTTCCCTCTGCTCCTGTCCCTGTTCCCTGGGAGCACAGCCCGGCCCCCCCGGCTGTCCCCTCCTGTCAGGAGCTGTGCAGAGCCACAAGGGCCCCCCTGAGCCTCCTTTGCTCCAGGCTCAGCCCCTGCCCAGCTCCCTCAGCCTCTCCTGGGGCTCCAGCCCCTTCCCAGCTCCGTTCCCTGCCCTGGACACGCTCCAGCCCCTCAGGGTCTCTCTTGTCCTGAGGGCCCAGAGCTGTCCCCAGCACTGGAGGTGCCTCAGTCATGCCCAGTGCAATCTGCAGCTCTTCAGCTAAACAAGAATACATGTTCTGACATCCTGAGCTGAAGGGATTGTCCCTTCTGACATTGCTGAAGGGATTGTCCCTTCCATGCTGTTTTAATATGCTGGGCATCTTATAAACAGGCCGAAGTTTTAGAGTATATCCACCTCTAAACAGCTGGGAACACAACAAAAAGTCGAGCAAGAGCTTTACTGGGGCTCCTTTAATTTGTGAATGTATTCAGACAATTTATAAAGTCTGCATAATTTTTTTTTTTAGTTATTTAGGATATTATTACAGAAGAAAATGCATTGAAAAATAACAGAGAAAATAAAGTGTATAGTAGATTAGGCTGCAGCATCAGGCTTCCAGCTGTGTGCCAGCACCATATTTAAACACCAGGCCTTCTGCAAAAGCTGCAAAAAGGAAAACAGGCAGATAATGCAAGTAAGATTACACATTTATGGTCTCTGGAATGGTGTTCCACTGCTTTAATTAGCTGCAGTTATACCTAAAGGGAGCAATCTACATCACAAAACTTTCTGTGTGAGGCACTTCACTGGAAGCCCTGTCAGGAGATTTGTGTTATAACTCTTCTGCCCCTATTCTTTTTCAAGAATAGGTCAATAATCCTGTTGTGTTGTGAATAGCTAAATGAAAATCGAGTGAAAGCAAAGGCCCAGGTTTGGGCTGGAGTGCATGAGATCATCTGCTGGGACACAAAGGACTGCACAAAGCCTTCTTTAAGAAGAAGAAGAAGCGGGCAGAAATTAAGGAAATCCTTATGTGACAGAATAATATTGATCAAGTGAGTTGAATTTAACTGAGAAAATTCCCATGTGCTTGCTACTTGCTAAAAACAAGATTTACAAAAGGTTTAGGCACCTGATGGTGGCATGTGGACTTCTACCAGAATTCCCTAGACCAAGTAGCAGCTCCATTTACACTGAAGACTTTTAGAAAATTTCAGAGTTGGCATCTTTAGGGGACCAAAGTACTGCAAATCTAGTCCCAAGTTCTTCAGCATTAAACCTGTCTGGCTTTGCTTAAATACTATTGAGGAAAGATCAATATATCAATATTTGAAAAAACATCATTCAAATCAACTAATTTCAAGTATTTTTTCTTAATAAGAAGGTCTTAATGGTACCTTCTGTATGTTGGTTTTCACAAATTGCTGGATGCCAAGAAGTTAGAAAAACACATTTAAAAAACTACAAATATATGCCAAAAATTCTTAAATAAAAAGAATTAATTTTATGTTGCTGATTATTTTGATGGCCTGATTCTGACAGGAAAGGAAATTTTGGCATGTTAGACTGCACATGATCAGCTGCTGAGAATGTCTAAACTGAAAATAAATTCTGATCTAATGACAGTAGCACATTATGCTGTTATTGCCCAGATGGAATAATCGTGTCCCAGCTGAATTTTGGGAGCTGTTCGACAGACTGCAGAGGTTCAGTCCTCAGGGTCATTCCTTCATGATTTCTGTGCAATGGAGAACATTATTGCTGAAAGAACAGTGGCTGCAGAATTTGCAGGTGAAGGAAATGAAGAGAAATTTAATTTACACTTAGGTTAACTAAAATCTCCTTCAGTGAGAAATGACTGTTTCATTAAATTGCCTAAGACTTGAAAGAAGGGATTATCTTTGTGTAGTCTTCTGATTGCTAGAGCAATGCTTGCTGAACTAAATCATATTTTGGTTGTAACAGACTGCCATTATTCCTGTTTTCAGTGAACCTGGCTGCAGTAATTTAATTGAAAAACTCTAGAAGGCCATGTTTGCCATGATCATTTTGCATTAGAAATGCTTTTAGGTAATAGTGCTGTATCTTTATTTCACTGTTGTTTTAGAATCACTGAATGGTTTGGGTTGGATGGGGCCTTAAATCTCATCCTGTCACACCCTCAGGACATCTTCCACTATCCCTGGTTGCTCCAAGCCCTGCCCAACCTGTCCTTGGGATGACTGAAACACAAATTGACATGTTGTGAGTAGATGTGTTTATAACCCACAGCGCTTGTTTTTGGCACAGGGGTTGCTCTACAAAACCTTTACATTTTGTCACACAGCGTTGCACAGCCGTGCTGTTGACCAGGCCGCAGTTCTGTGGGCGCAGCCATTCCCACCCAGCGCTGTGTGAGCACGGGCTGAGCCCCAGAGCTGTAACGTGGCAGTGTTTGCTCAGGGTTACACCCACGGTGCTGTTTGCAGACCTGCTGCTGGCATGCACAGCCCAGGGACAGGGATGGGGAACAGCCCGGACGGGGATTTGCTGTCATGCACCACATGGAATGTGGGAATAAACTCAGCACTACACTGGGAAGTTCCCCTTTTAATGAGCCAATGGGTACCTTGGAACCTGCTGCTGATGGCACACACCCCACTTTGGAGGTTGCTCTTGGAGAAACAATGATTTAAAGCAGCACGAAGGCAGGACAGGGCCTGGTAAATCCTCCCACCCTCAGACATTCACTGTTGGATTCACTGGTCTTACCTCATGTCCCACTGAAAATGTGGGACAGGTGCAGGGTAGAGAATCAGAATGAATCAGAGAAGGGTTTGGGTTGGAAGTGACCTCAAAGCTCTTCCAGCGCCACTCCCTGCCATGGGCAGGGACACCTTCCACTGTCCCAGGTTGCTCCAAGCCCCATCCAGCCTGGCCTTGGGACACTGCCAGGGATCCAGGGGCAGCCCCAGCTGCTCTGGGCACCCTGGGCCAGGGCCTGCCCACCCTCCCAGCCAGCAATTCCTAATTGCCAAGAGCCCAAAATCTGTGCCTGCCCTCTGGCAGTGGGAGCCATTGCCTGGCTGCTGTCCCTGCAGGCCTTGTCCCCAGTCCCTGTGCAGCTCTCCCGGAGCCCCTGGAGGCCCTGGCAGGGGCTCTGAGGTGTCCCTGGAGCCTTCTCTTGTGCAGCTGAGCAGCCCCAGCTGTGCCAGGCTGGCTCCAGAGCAGAGGGGCTCCAGCCCTGGCAGCAGCTCCGTGGCCTCCTCTGCACTGGCTGCAGCAGCTCCAGCTCCTTGTGCTGCTGGAGCCAGGGCTGGGGCAGCTCTGCAGGTGGGCTCTCACCTGAGCCCAGGGGCACAGGGGCAGGATCCCCCCTGCCCTGCTGCCCACGCTGGGGGATCACCCAGGCTGACACGGGAGGTGTCATGGCCGCCCCTCCCGTCACGAACTACAACTCCCGTGATGCCCCGCGCCCCACCCCGCGCGGGCCTCGCGCACGCGCAGTGGGGCAGCGCCGGCGACGTGGAGGCGGGCGGGGACCGTGAGGGGCCGTGAGGGGACCCGGGAGCTGCGCGGGCCGAGGCACCCCCGTACCGACCCCGCCACCGACCTCGGGCCCAGGGCACGGACGGTAAGCGCGCCCTCGGCGGTGCCTTCGAAGGGCATGGGCGACGGGTGAACCCAGCGGCCGCCAGCTCCGAAGGGGGCCCCCGAGATCCCCCGGTTGCCCCGACGTCACCGTCCCCTCGTGGCGCGGGCCTGTGTCGCGATAGACGGAGGGATGCCTTGCGTAATTCGACACCGGCGCTGAGGAGAGTTGCCGGGGCACCGGCATCCGCCGTGTCCCCGCCCGGGCTGGGGCATCTCCCGGGATCCCTCACAGGGTTCCTGGGTTGTACCTGTGTCCCTTCGGGATCCAGGAACCAATCCCGCGCTGGGTCCCCTGGATGTCCTTGTGTCCATTAGGGATCCAGGGATTCCTGCCAGGGTTCCCAGAATGTGCCTGTGTCCCTTTACCCAGATCATGAGTGTTTCCTTACAGGGATCCTGTAATCCCTTGGGGTCCCTGGGATGTCCCTGTGTCCCTTTAAATGCGTCCAGGACTGAAAAGCCAGATATTTATACCTGTTTTTTTCTTATGTGCTCATAATGATATTTATTGTTCATGGCTAGATGATAAATTGATTTATTTTTCCGTCCTGTTCTTGATGGAGTCTTTTCATTCCTCTGCAGGATCTCAGATCTCCTGGGGCTCACTTTGCCTTCTCACTCCTACCACACTGTTTTTATACTTATGAATGATAATATATATCAAAAGTGAAACATACTTTAGTTTAAAATTGAACTGGTATCTCACCTGAGCTGCTGGGCTTTGCATTACCTCATACGCCTTCATGCCAAGCACTGTTTGTTTATTTATTTATTCTTTTTAATCTGTGCTGGGAGTTTGTGGGGCCGTAATCTAATTTTTTCCCTTGCCTGTGCTGAGGGATAACGTGCTGGGCTGCATTTTTAATCATTGTAGGTGTTTGCAGAAATAAGGAAGCTGTTGATATTTCCATCAGGGGTCACTTTTGGAGTGCAGGGGGGTGGAAGGAGGCTCCCGGGTGGTTGGGTCCCGTGTCCCAATGCAGGGTTGTGTAATCCCACATTGTGTCAATTCCCAACTGAAAAACGTTCTGGGTGCTCCAGCTGGGCCGACTAGAAAATTGCCATTTCTCCTTGGATTGCCAGGAGTTTGGAAGGCCTCCTGCTGTCATTTCCATGGGCTGTTTTCTCTTTCCACTGCTGCTGCATCAGCAGAGGCCCGTGGACAGCCCGGGGAATGATGGACCCAGCTCAGCACCGTCACCTGGCTGGAGCATCCCTCAGCTCCTCCTCTTACAGTCCCGTGCTGATGTTTTGCTAGCAGAGCTTCTAATCCCTCCTATTTCCTGCTAAATCAATAAAAAAAGTACTTGTAGCACATTACTGCTAAACTCAGATGGATCTGGTGCTTCCTTCCAGTGATTTTATCCGATTAAAAGGAAGATTTGGAGATCATAGAATCCCAGACTGGTTTAGGTGGGAAAGAACATTAAGGATCATCCTGTCCCATCCCCTGCCATGGGCAGGGACAGCTCCCACTGTCCCAGGCTGCTCCAAGCCCCATCCAGCCTGGCCTTGGACACTGCCAGGGATCCAGGGGCAGCCCCAGCTGCTCTGGGCACCCTGGGCCAGGGCCTGCCCACCCTCCCAACCAGCAATTCCTAATTCCTGGTATCTAATCCAAACCTGTCCTCTGGCATTTTCTGACATGCTGTGTTTTTAAGTCCTTAGGATGTTTTTAACATGCTGATGACTGACAAAAGTCACTAAAGGCAAGAAGTCATGTTTGGTGGCTGCTGAACTGACGCCACAGTAGATGATTAATGATTTTAATAGTATTTTTCAAAGTGTATTCTCTAGAGTGGAAAGTCTATACCACCTCCAAATAATCCCACAATCTGGCAAGTAAAACTGAATTTGCAGTGGATCCTGAAGATAGGTGATATATTTTATATAACATATTAATGTAATATTTTTAATATAAATTATGATTGTAATATAGTATAAAATTATTACCCATACAGAGCAGATTTGTCTTGCTGCATAACATGCTTTTTTATGTTGTAGTTAGGTCTTCAGCTGTGAGGAACTTCAGAAGCAGAGACAATAATAATCCTGTTGCAAAAAAAAAGCAGAGACAATAATAATCCTGTTGCAAAAATAGGGTTAATGCCCAAACTGTGGAAGAGCACAGATACCAAAATAGTTGTATAAGCTTTTACATATAGCAAAATATACCAATACTGAAACAAATGCAGGCCTTTTAACAAACATCTGAGCATCTGTTTGAAGCTTAAATGGTGCTTGAATTATCTTTTTGCAACATTACTGTGGCCTTTAGGCAGGTGTTACTTAGGTCTGATAGTGAAATAGGGAGGAAATACTTGTGTGTAACAGTAATCTTAGCATCCTTTCCATATTGAAGCTACTTGATTTATTAAATCAGGCTACATTTAGCCTGACTTGTGTCATATCCAACCCACCTGTCCATTTCAATTAGAAACAATGAATTACTATAAATTGATTTTTGAGGTAGGTGTGCTGAGTGGTTTTTTTTTTAATAAATAGAGGAAAAAGACAAAGTCATCAAAGAATTCTCATATTGAACAAAATTTCCAACACTATAATCCATCATAGATTATCAGGGAGTTGGTGTAAAACTGTTTTTGAAAACCATTTCTGTTTTTGTGGTAATAAAAGTCCCTTTTTGGCCACTGGAAGAAGATAATGTCAAACCAGCAATGTTGGTTCTGATGTGCTGTCTGTTCCTAATCTGTGAAGGCAGGTCTCAGTGTGAGTTGTGCTCATTCTTGATTTGTCTTTATTTTTAAGCTCCATATCCCTTTGATATTCTTGTTTAAAGTTCAGTTTGTTGTTCTCATTTTATAGTTCCAGCACACCTGTCCTGGCTGGCAGCAGGAATCTCATTGGTGAGAGCAAACAAACCCTTTACAGAAATACCTGCCCACTGCAGAGAGTGGAGATAGTATTTGAATTTTCACTTCTTGAAACTTTTGAAAAATGTGTTACTTACCTGTAGTAGTTTTGTAACAGGTGTTTTACACAGAAATTGCAAGGTGTGCCTGACCCAGCCTTCTTCCCTTCTGACAGTGTTTACTAATTGGATTAAAGAATTTATTTCTGCATGTACTCCAAAAAACACTAGCTGTATTTGAGTGCTGACCTTTTCTTGGGGTGTTGGATTGTAAGAGTAAGGATAGAGGTACCTTTCTTCATGATTACATTTTTTCATAATTGCCTGCACACCACCTCTCCCCCTCACTGTGACAGAATGTTTTTGTGAAACTGATGCTGTCATTCTGCTCTCAGATTGGTAGGCTTGGTGCAACATTTATTTAATAACTTGTTACGTAGGAATTTAGACAGAAAAGTGATCTTTATAGTTTTTATAGCTTTAAATTTTGTTAACTCTTGATAAATTTTATAGGTAGAGAGGCTTTTGAACCTTCAGGGAGATTTGGCCACAAGCATCATGTTTTAGCATGGGTGTGTAATTGCCTGCACTAAAAATGAACAAATTGAGGAGTCCCGAATTGATCTTGTGGGATTTTGTGTTAATAGACTAGAGATATGTTTTGTTGCATAAATTGCCTTTTTTGTAAATTGGACAAAGAGGTCTTTATATGCTCTAAATGTTTTTTTAACTGTAAAAGTTAAACAGGAGCTCTCTGAACTTGTGAAATGCCTTAAGAGAAAGGCATTTCACATGAAGGATTCAGCAAAAGCTTCCTCAAGAGGTTTGACCTGCTGCCCTGCCCTGCCAGAGCATGGTGACTGAGGGAATAGAGGACAAAAAGCTTCATTTAGATTAGCTGTGTCACTAAGGGTATGTGCTAATGGAAAGGCCAATACATGTTGGGTGGAAATATAATAATTTTGGGATCTAGTTTGCCACAAGCCTGTATTTACTTATTGGTGTTCAAGGCTATCATGTAACTTTTTAATATTTTTTAGAGCCCTTTGTATCAGAAGTTTCTGTTGTGAGGTGAAAGGTTCGAGTGGCATTTTTGTGTAAATTATTTTTGATCTCTTACAACTGTAGGGAAAAGCATCTTGAGCGAGGTTGTCCTCCTTGATTTTGTCCTCCTGTGAGTCAGTAGTTCCAGTTCAGGACATGGCTTTGAAGGCGACCTGTGAAGGTGACTAGTAGCTCACTTGAAGTAAGGTATTTTGAGATTAGTAAGTGGGCATCTGCTTAACAAAATTACTAGATTTGGTGATCAGAAATTAGCAGAAATTAGCAAACCTGGAGTTTAGAGATTATAGAGCGTAGGAAAATGTGTTAGTTTTCTGAGATGGCACTGAGAAACACGATCAGTACACCTCAGTCTCATTTATAGAATTTAGGTTTTCATTTTTCTGTCATCTCCTTTCAGAGCATTTATTAAAATGTGACAAACTGTGTAGTGTGAGCTGTCAAAGACAACAGCATCCCTTGTTGAGCAGTTTGGGGAAGCACTACAACATCCGGGCTCACTCACATCGGAATTCTTCTGCTTGAAATACTCTGCCTCACCATGAAGGTTTTGAAAAATCCCTTCTTCAGCTGTGAGCAGAACAACTGTACCGTAGGTGGGACATGAAGGAAGCAGATTGTGCTCTTCAGAATTAGGCTTTTATTGATGACTGACTCCCACGGAAATGTTGTGGAAGAGGAACTGGAGCAGAAAACATAGCATCATCACTTGTTTTTTCAGCTGCTTGCCTTCCCTGTGAGGGGCCTTCTTTGCCTGCAGTAAATCTGTTGAGATTGGTCACTTCTGCTGTGTGCAGGTCTCTTCAGGCTTCAGTGGAACCCAGAAGGACCATTCTGATGTCACTGCACTGCTGCTTCGATTCAGGTCCTTACTGTGGAAGGGGAAGGCACTAGAACAGAGCAGGAGGACCGAAAGAGATGCTGTGTTTGTTCATCCAGCTGAGTAAACAGTGAGCAAGTCAGATAATTTATGTTGAAGCTGCCTAAAGACCTTGAGATGTTGTTGTTGTTTTTTTTTTTTTTTAATTTTTTTTTTTTTTTTTATT